TTTTAAGACCTTCGATACGTGGAGTTTTTAACATGAGGATTTAAAAAAATCCAAATACTATCGAGATGTGGTTTAAAAAAATATTTACAAAGGCTATAAATTTAAAAAAATTAAATACTACTTTGGCGTGTATTTTTATACCCTACACCACACTGTGGTACAGGTTATAAAAATCCACGCCATCCAAAGTAGTATTTATGGGGACCCCCATTCTCGGTGTCAAAAATTTTTTTGATTTAATTCGAATCTACTCTAATTCTAGAATGTTCCTACAAAATTTCAAGTGAAAATCTCAAGAACTCTTGAAGATATAGCCGATTTATTGTGTCAGCATCTAGTGACGGCAAGAGTGATTCTCAAACTTTAAACGCATTTTTCTCAAAACGAATGGCGGGCACGATAACTCAAAAACTAATAATCCAATCGGTTTCAAATTTTGACACGTTTCTCTGGGAGTGTGCAGCTCTCGTATGAAGCAGGATAAAGCCAATCGGTGAAGATCTTCCTTATTTGTTAACTTAGTTTGTGGTAAAAAAAAGAAAATTTTCCAAAAAAAATTTTTCAAAGTTCCGCCATTTTGTTAATTGTTGTGCGAAGTCAATAATCCTAGTTCATACGAGAGCCAGACATGTCCTCTTTCTAACACCGTTGGAATTTTCGGATTCCGATGTTCCAGTGAGGAGTTATCATGCCCGTCATCGAAAATATGGACTTCTCTTTGAACCCAAAAAACAACAACAAATTTTGGTAAATTATTTTTCTTCCTTTTTAAAACTTCAAATATATATGTGCCAAGTTACAAACCTTAACAAGCATTGGTATTCATTTACCAGCCCATTTAAAATCTTAAAAATGAAAAATCGAGAAAGGGGGGGGGTTTCCCTTAATGCATGGAATCACTTTCTGAGTCGATTTATGCATGACCGTCCGTCCGTCTGTCCATGTTAAATTGTAAACAAATTACAGGTCGCATTTATGATCCGAATTGGATGAAATTTGGCACATAGACGAATCCTATTGAAATTGGAAAAATCGGTTCAGATTTAGATATAGCTCCCATATATAATTTCGCCCGATTTAAGGTAAATAGTGCACCAAACTCCCAATATTGGTCCGATTGAAGCAAAATCTTGCACAGAGTACTGAATTAGGTCCCAACTGATGTATGCGAAATTTTGTTGGAATGGGTTCATATATAGATATAGCTATCATACATAGTTTCGCCCGATTTTAGGTAAATTGTTTGCCAAAGTCCCTAAATATCTTCCGATTTGCAGGAAATTTGGCACGGTGTACTCAATTGAGTGCAAAATGATGTGTGCTAAGTTTTGTGAAAATCGATTCATATTTAGATATAGCTCCCATACATAATTTCGTCCGATTTTAGGTAAATGGTATGCCAAATTCACAATATATCTTTCGATTTGCACGATATTTGGCATAGCAGACTGAATTGAGTCTAGAATGATGTGTGTAAAAGTTCTTGAAAATCTGTTCAGATTTGGATATATATCCCATATATATTTTCGACCGATTTAAGGTAAATGATTCACCAATGTTCCTACATATCCTTCGATTTGCACGCAATTTGTCATAACGTACTGAATCGAGTCTACAATGATTAGCAGTAAGTTTCGGGAAAATTGGTTCAGATTTAGATATAGCTCCCAAATATATTTTGGTCCGATTTTATATATATGGTGCACCAAAGTCCCCGTATATCCTCCAGTTTGAACGATTTTTGGTATAGCGTACTTAATTGAGTCTGGAATGAATCACATTCGAGGAAACATTGGCATGCAATTGTAAGGATGCATATGTACAATATACCCAAAATGGTGAAGTGTATCATATAGTCGGGCCAGTCCGACTTTAATACTTTCCTTACTGGTTTAAAAATATATTTTTCAAAGTCAATTGATGTGTATTTTTTAAACATTATTTTAAAGACTATCGAAAAATTAAGACCATCGAGGGCTGGTTTAAAAAAAAATAAATATTTTTTTAAGACTACTGATGCGTGAATATAAAAAAATGCAAAGACTATGGAGGTTTGGAATTTTTAAAAATATTTTTTCAAAGACAAACATGGTTTTTGTAAACTGTCGAAGCGAGTATTTTTTTTTAATTATCGAGTTTTGGTCTTTTTAAGATTTTGTTTACCAAATACAGAGGTTTGGATTTTTTAAAATCATTTTACAAAGGCCATCGAGATGTGGATTTTATAAAATGTATTTTTCAAAGACTATTTATTCGTGGATTTCTAGAAAATAGTTTCCAAAAACTATTGAGGCGTGGACTAAAAACATATTTTTCCTGCTTCTATCAAGCCTAACGATTTTTTAGAACATATTAAGCCTGAATTGAAAAAAAAACTTTAAATAAAAAAACAATTTTTTTTTAAATAGTTTACTAAATATGCAGATAAATAATTAATACCTGATTGCTATTAAAAACTTTTTAGAAAATGTGAAGGTCATCTAAATTTAAAACAATATATATATATATATATATATATTAAATATCAAGTACTTTATTAGAAGTTATTTTTAGCAAGGTTTGAACAAAAAAATTGAGACAATCGAGGCGTGCATAACAATCTGGGCGTGGTTTTTTTATAAATATTTTTTCAAAGACTTAGGTAGTCTAGGGCTTTTAAAAAATATATGAAGTGTGGTTTAAAAAAAATCAATTCTCATATGATCTGAATTTAAAAAAAAAATATTATAGAAAATAAGAAAATTCTTTTATAAGCCTTATTTATTTTAACCCTACGGTCAATAACCGGGTACATTTGTTCCTTTTTTTTTTTTTTTGAATAAAAATGCTGTAAAATTTTTAATAATGGAGATATTTGGATCATATTTTGAGGACTCATTCTTGAGGCATTTTCACACATAATCGAAGGAAAAAATTATAAATATTTTCCATATATATAATTTTTACAATTTTTTAAAGTTATTACCTACGTAGATCAATAACCGTGGTACATTTGTACCCATCCAAAGATAGCTCTGTAACTCATTAAAAAATTGGACTATCGTGAGGTTTTTTGTTTCAAATTAGTCTTTACGGATCTGATCTAGATGTATGAACTCAAAATTATATATACATTAAAATAATATATATTTAAATCCATGCTTAAATGATAATCTATCTAAAACAATCATAGTAAATCCGTTATAGCTTTCAAATGGGTTAAGCTTTTTTAGTTATTTTTTTATTGGGATCTTATTTAGGTGTCCCTCAACCCCTCGGCAAATTTTTGTGGCCTTAGACAACATGGGGCCATCAGAGCGACTCGTGGAAGTCAGAAACTACCCTGGTTTTCCCTTGCTATCTTTGGATGGGTACAAATGTACCACGGTTATTGATCTACGTATACTTTTTTGGTTATTGACCGTAGGGTTAAAACAAATAATACATTTTTTTAAATATTAATGCCTATCTTCTTAAAAAATATTTTTTTGTATTTTTTAAAAATTATGAAGGCTAGCAATTTTTTTAATATTTTTTAAAACATATTTTATTTATTTTTTTTTTGTTCCGGAAAATATAACAGCTTAGATTTTTAAAAATTTCATTTATAGAAAATATGAAAATATTATTTTTTGTTAATTTTTTTTTCTAGAATATATCAAGGCTTTAATTACTTAAAAATATATATTTTCGTAGAAAATATTGTCTATCATTGTGTTATAGACATTTTCTTTTTTCATGATTTGAAAATATTTTTTAGGCCACTGTGCTCATAGCAAAATTTCCCCCACTCCTGTTTACATATATTTTAAGGAGCATCATAGCATCCAGCTAAAGAAATTCTATTGAGTATGTGTTATTGGCATTAATAAGTCAAATGAAATATCCGCCATTTGTCCTAAGCGGGCAAATATCTCAAAACATGAAATCCGTTAAGGTTTTTTTCCGTTTCCCTTTGCTACAAATAAAAAAATACTAAACGGGCACTCAATGCGAATGTTTGATTCATTCATTCATATTTGTTGTTGCTGTTTTGTTTAGCACTTACTTTCGGGGGTATTTGACGCAAATACTTTTTGATTCAATCAGCGTCTTCAGCATTTCTCTTTGATTTCTCTGCGAATTTTCCACATACGAAAGCAATTTTTTATGATATTTTACAATGCATTAGCTAGCTATAAGTGTCCTTGTGGTTGGGTTTTTTCGTTTCGGGGAAATATTTATGATGACATTTGAGGCTATTACATATGTAAGACATGTCCTTTGCATAATAAAGAAGGAAAAAAAGAGGTAAACGATGAAAGGAAGAGTTATGGTGTATAAAATGAAAAGGCATCCACAAAAATAATGTCAATAATAAAATCATTGAAATATACACAAAATTTATTTATAATGTTCGGTACATGTGTGTGTGGGAGAGTCCTTGAAATTCCAATAAAATATTTATGAGTTTCCAGCAATTGGAGTAACGTGTGAGATTTTGAAAATTTAGCATTTTTTTTTTATTTTGAAGAAATATAAATTTGTATTTGAAACAAATTTTATAGTACATAATATTTTTGTGGATTATTTTAAAATATTTTACCACTGCACAGTCTGAGGTACACTCTTCTCTTCACTTACCTAACCTATAAAAAATATTAAAGTATTTTTTTTTTTTGTATTAAATACTTTTTTCTAAATCCACTTTTCTAGGAATTCATTCATGTAGCCACATTTAATTTTCTATCTTCTTGGTCTTAAGATAAATACTCTCCTTCTTTGTTTTCTTTATATACATGTGTATATTTTGTTTTTGCTCTTCAAAATGTATATATGTGTACGTATGTTGTATATCTAAGTGTCATAAATTAAAATTGCTTTATCTAAATGTTGTCTTATGTCAAGACACAATTATTACTACTTGTGAGATTACAAGTGAGCGAGATGAGTCTTCTTCTTCTGCTATTTTTTATAATATTTCAACTAAAATAAAACGTTTTTTATTTCTTTTTCCTTTTTTTTCTTGTTTACTATTTCAGGAAATCGCTGCGATTCTTATCAGTTTTGATAAACACAATGAATGGCAATCGAAAGAAGTCAAAACAAGGTGAGTCATGCTATATTTATTTCTGTGAAAAAAAATAAAATTTGTAACAAAAAAAATTAAAACAATTAAAAAACCTAATAAAATCGACAAAGGAAACGAACCTTACTGAAATTGGTGAAAATCAGTTCAGATTTCGATATAGCTCCCATATATATATTTTCGTCCGATTTTTAGTAAATGCTGCACCAAAGCGGCAAATTTAGACCGATTGGCACGAAATTTTGCACAACGTACTGAAGTTAGGATAGCCTAACGTGTGCCAAGTTTTATTGAAATCGATTCAGATTTAGATATAACTCCCATATATATTTTCGTCCGATTTTTAATAAATGATGCACCAACGAGTCAAATTTAGGCACAACATACTGAAGTTAGGATCGGCTTACGTGTGCTTTTTTTTAAATCGGTTCAGATTTAGATATAGCTCCCATATATATTTTCGTCCGATTTTTAGTAAAAGGTGCGCCAAAGAGTCAAATTTAGGCCGATTGGCACGAAATTTTGCACAACGTACTGAAGTTAGTATAGCTCAACGTGTACCAAGTTTTATTGAAATCGGTTCAGATTTAGATATAGCTTCCATATATATTTTCGTCCGATTTTTAGTAAATGGTGCACCAAATTTTAGGGCGATTGGCACGAAATTTTGCACAACGTACTGAAGTTAGTATAGCTTAACGTGTGCCAAGTTTTATTGAAATCGGTTCAGATTTAGATATAGCTGCCATATATATTTTCGTCCGATTTGTAGTAAAAGGTGCACCAAAGAGTCAAATTTAGGCCGATTGGCACGAAATTTTGCACAACGTACTGATGTTAGTATAACTCAACGTGTGCCAAGTTTTTTTCGAAATCGATTCAGATTTAGATATAGCTCCCATATATATTTTCGTCCGATTTTTAGTAAATGGTGCACCGAAGAAGTCAAATTTAGGCCGATTGGTACGAAAATTTGCACCACGTACGGTAGTTAGTACAACTTAACGTGTACCAAGTTTTATTAAAATGTATTCAGTTTAAGTTTTATTAAAATGTATTCCGATTTAGATATAGCTCCCATATATATTTTCGTCCGATTTTTAGTAAAAGGTGCACCAAAGAGTCAAATTTAGGGCGATTGGCACGAAATTTAGCAGAACATACAAAATTTAGTATAGCTTAATGTGTGTCAGGTTTTATTGACATCGATTCAGGTTCAGATATATCTCCCATATATATTTTCGTCCGATTTTTAGTAAAAGGTGCACAAAATAGTCAAATTTAGGCCGATTGGCACGAAATTTTGCACAACGTACTGAAGTTAGTATAGCTCAACGTGTACTAAGTTTTAATGAAATCGGTTCAAATTTAGATATAGCTCCCATATATATTTTCGTCCGATTTTTAGTAAATGGTGCACCGAAGAGTCAAATTTAGGCCGATTGGCACGAAATTTAGCAGAACATACAAAAGTTAATATAGCTTAACGTGTGCCATGTTTTAATGAAATCGGTTCAAATTTAGATATAGCTCCCATATATATTTTCGTCCGATTTTTAGTAAATGGTACACCAAAGAGTCAAATTTAGGCCGATTGCCACGAAATTTTGCACAACGTACTCAAGTTAGTATAGCTCAACGTCTACCAAGTTTTATTGAAATCGGTTCAGATTTAGATATAGCTCCCATATATACGTTCGTCCGATTTAGGCCGTATAAATACAGACTTCATATTTAATTTACTTTAATTTCACTTCAAAACACCTTCAAAAATGCGACATCTGTTAGGATGCATCTTCTGAATATACCGAAAGTAGTAAAGGGTATAATATAGTCGGCCCCGTCCGACTTTACTACTTTTGTTACTGGTTTTTTTCTGCTCTTGAGGCCACAATCCTGACCCGAACATTTAGAGTAATTTCGGGTAATGTGGACCACAATTTTCTTTTTTTTTTTGATATTGTGGGCGTAACAACGGTAGATTTCAAAAAAACTCTAAACTGCGTATAAAAATAACTTGGCGGGTAATGTGGACCAGTATGTGTGGGCAATGAGTATCAGTAAATTAAATGTAGGTTGTGGATTGGTTGTGATAAATTTCAATTTATTGCACTCTCGGTTAACAATGAATGGAAAAATATATGGGTTCATGTTTTGGAATAGCCCCCATTTAAGGGTACCGACCCATTTGAAGGTCCTTTCGCATATCGAGTTTTCAGAGGATAGAATACCTCCTCGCATATTAAATGCGCCCATGTTTCGAACTCTTCCTCATGAAAAGGTCCCACACTTTTATAGTGCTCCACATTACCCGACATTGAATATTTTAATTTAAAATTAATTATCGGCTTCAAAAATGTGAACCAGTGATCGGAACAGTATAGTCGGACGGGGCCGACCATACGATACCCTACACAACTTCCATGAAAATCTATTATCTGTGGTTCTATATTCTGAGATTGGGAAAATATTTCGCGATATTTGCACACTTTTGACTGGTTAGAGATCAGCAAATGTGACTAATAATCAGTACAGTCCCTCTAATTACTTCACCGTGGGTTGTGTTGTGATGTTCGGCTTTCGACTCGAAAAGTGCAAATAATTAAGTTTTCGGTCCACTTCATCCGAAAAATTATTATCTGATCATCACCTAACATTTTAAGCGTTGTCCTTGACCATAACTGGAACCTCATGGAACATTTCAAAGCGATCAGCGCTATATTTCCGCCCTCCATTGTGGTAATAGGTTACTAAATAATATATGAATACGTAAGCACCTGTAAATATTTAAGTGTATGTACTCCGAGTACCTACGACAAATATAATTGGTATCAATTTAAAGGTCCACCACTCCTCTTGGATATACCGTCAACTTCTCGGGTCTATGTCCTTCAGTGGTAAATATATACGCTATAGAATACAAATGTTGTAATTTTTTACACAAAAGTTAGGGTCCATTTGACCCGTTAAATATTGACCGATCTTTATCAAAACAGGCACGCTTATTCTTTGGCCCAATCCCCTTCTCCATGCAAAAATTCGCGGTGTTTGAGCCATAATTGCAGCCGACCAGAAAAACCGACAAAAATAAAGTTTTTGGTCCATTTCATCCCCTAAATATTAACCGATCTTTTCCAACAAAATAATAGGGGTCTTCATTGGCCAGAACCCATCCTACATGCAAAATTTCGTGTAGATTGGTCCATAACTGTGGCCTGTATCGTGTTTACAAATTATAATGGACAGACGGACGGACGGACACACATGTCTAGATCGACTCAGCTAGTCGAGATATGACGATCGGTATACTTATTTATATTATTTCGCGGCGTTACAAACTTTTGGGGCTGCACAAAGCTATAATACCCTGACAACATAATTATGTAGGGTATAATAAAAATTAAAAATCACCGGTTGTAATTACAGCTAATCGTATATTTTTGTTAAAGAAAATAAGAAAACCACAAAACAAAGTGTTCGAAGATATAACTTTGAAAATTTTGCACATGGAATGCTAATAATCCTAGACAATTGAAATAATACGCCGTTTGCTATTAAAACTGAAATATATCGGTCCATGTTTTGGTATACACCTCATATAACGACATCACCGGAATATTCGATTTTTTGTGGATTTTGACCACTTTTTTCAACAGTTCCCATTTTCAGGCCAGTCCCATATAACGATAGTTCCCAAATTTAGATATTTTGTTAAAGTGTAGTAACGTTTTCCAACAAAATTGGCTACGATTTTAATTATTTTGTTA